CTCCTCTAAAAAACGGTTTCAATTAGAATAATGATTAAAAAACTATTTATAAACAAATGGTTCGATTTTAATTGAATCGGTTTGACTTTTTTGGGTTGGTTATAAAAAACTGGTTACAATTGTGCATATGTAATCAGACCCGGTTGCAAATTCGCTTCCTCTATACCAATGTTATTTAGTTAGAGCTTGCAAATACCATTATTAGTCACCGGTACAATGTTATTTGGTACCTGCATATTAAAGAACATATTAATAAAAGGATATAAATCTAAAATCTGAAACATCAAACATAAGTAAGATCTAATAATTAATCCACCTTAACTACTTCACATGATAACAATACTTAAATATTTAATTGTTGCATAACTTCAAAAGATTTGACTAATTCTACAGTTATTCCATCAGTAGCAAAATTATCAGCTTTATAAACCTGATAAAAAAAACAGACGTGCACAAAATCACTGTATATAAATTATATAGCTATGATATATTTAAAATAGAAAAGAAAAAAAAAACATTAAAATAATCTAACCTCCATGTGATTGATTTTGTAAAAAGGGAGAATTTCATCTATATCCTTACAAACTTTAAATATTACTTTGGTATCCTTACAAACTTAAAAATTACATATATATATATATATATATATATATATATATATATATATATATATATATATATATATCCTTATGAAACTATAAAACTCACATTTATATCCAAACTCATAATTTAATTTGGATTATATCAATTTAATATTTAAAAACTTATCTAAACTTCAAAAATTCCATAAGACTTTACCAAAATACTCTTTTCAATATTAAATCCTAAATATAATATTAGGTATTTCTACGTTAGGCGATAGTTTTTTTGTTTCTTTTTTGTGTTCTATAGTTTGCCATGGAAAAATAAGTTATGATTTAATATCTTGATGTTTCATGCTTACACAAATAAATTTGTGCATTATCGATGTACAAGTTTGTTTAATTTATGTTTGTAAGTTGGAATATACATGGTCCAGTTTCTTGCTTATGTAATCGTAAGTCAACAGCGAGTATGTCTTTAGAAAAATTGATTACTTTAATAAAGAATTGAGGCCATATACAAGGCCACGTTAGTGATTGGTGAGTTTGACATGTGCTACGACACTTTATGCTATTAAGAATCATCAATTCATTTTGGAATTTTGGTTGTTGCAGGTTCGAGGAACCTATATTTCCAGCAACGATTTGGGTGCAAGGAGACGAAGGGGAAGAGGATGTGCGTATTGGCTAATCTTTAATTTGGGAAGGGCATTTTGGTAAACTTGTATGAAAATTTGAATTTTAGATAAGTTTTTTAATATTAATTTATATAATCCAAATTAAATTATAAGTTTGGATATAAATGTGAGTTTTATAGTTTGAGAAGGACATATGTGTAATTGTGTTATTTGTAAGGATATAAAAGTAATATCTAAAGTTTGTAAGGATATAAATGAAATTCTTCCTTGTAAAAAAGTTGGAAACTACATGAGATTTACTATGCCTCCAACACAATGATCGAATAAACAAAATCAATTTGAAAGAAACAATTCAAAACATTCATATTTCAAGCAACGCTAATCCAATCCACTTGGGTTCTAGACTATATAATTCAAAAATAAAAAGTTTCTCTTAAATTTCCAAAAAAATTGAAGTACTCAAAGCAAAAATTCCATATTTATCAAACAGATGGATTGCATAAGCTTACAATCACAACAACCAATCTTAAGTGTTGTGTACCAACATCAAGGAAAATAGAAACTTAAAAGAGAAATGTTTAACTCATTAAAGGTAGTTTCCAAATTCACATATGAACACCAGAGAGAAAACATACTTTACTACTTTTGTAGCTTATGGTTGAAATCTGATGTAGTCACTTAGAATCGTCTTCATTGTATGGTATCTGTTCATTTTCATTTCATGTTCATAACACTTTAATCTTCAGGATTCTCGTCTAACTATTTGAAAAAAAACGTGGAAGAAATCAAAGGGTTTAGGGAGAAGAAATCAAAGGGGCAAAATCTTACCTAATTTTTTAATACATGTAATCACAGAAGATAAAAAATAAAAGCAATAACCTTAAAACCTTGAAACTAAAACTCAAAAATGAGAAAATAAATAAAAAAACATATATTGTAACTCACTTATTCTTAATCGATCGGAAGAGAGACGAAGCGAGTAGCAGAGAAGGAAAACATGGGTGGGGAAGGAGTGTAGTGGTGGCGGCAATAGAGAAAAGGAAGTCTAGGTACGAACCTGTCGAGTGTGTATGTGTGTGTGACAGACTGGAGAAAAAACAGAAGCCGGTGATGGAGATGGTGATGGGGATGATGATGGTGATGGCGATGGAGAAGTAGGTTCGGCCTCTTTGTTTGGCTTTTGTCCTGCTTTTGTCAGACAAAAAAACATAATTGTGTTGTATGTTACGATGCCAGGTGCTGCATACATTTTATCGAACACATTGAATGCTTTATTGATCTCACCAGCGCTACAATACCCACTGATCATAACGGTGTAAATTATTACGTCAACATATTGGAAGATTAGGGCACAAATTAGTAAAAAGAAATCAGTAACAATCAATTAAAAATGAATAAATGAGAACCAGAAGTCGAAGTTAAGCAGAAGGTGGATGAGTGAAGAAGAAACGAATATAGAAAAAGATGGTTGGATGAGTGAAGAAGATGAAGTTACCATGAATAACCAGGGATGGCGTTTGACGAGATTTAGACACTAAAGGATATCAAATTGAATGAAATCCTCATTTTAAAGATGGAATGATGACGTCTAGGGTGGTAGTGATGAGAGCCTTACTGCATTTTTTCTGAGAAAGATAAAAAGCAAAAAGAAGGTAAAGAAGATGGTGAAGAGAAGGCATCTAGGATTTTCAGAGAGGGTTGATTAGTGGTGGTGGTGAGGTAGTTTCGAGAGAGACGGTTGTAGCGAGTACAGAAGGAAATCGATTTGATTATGCAGTTGATTTTAAGGATACGTGATTTTCGTATTGAATAGTGATGTTTGAATATTTACTATACTAATCTTTCGGCTGATTATAAGGGATTTCAAAATCAAATTGATTTGAAACACATTATCAAATAGGGAAGCATAAGGCGAGTTTAATGGCATTTCCCAATCACAGAAGGGTATAATTGGAAAATCACTTAGGTAAAAGAAGCTGAAAATAAGTTGGAGGGGAGAGGAAGTATTGACACGTGGCATTAATGTATTGTTTTATTAGAAAAGAAGATTTAAAAGGGAAAAGGTGATAAAGTCTTCAACAAGTATGGTTACTTTTGTATTTCATTTACCATTTAATTTGTTGTTATCGTCTTAATATATCATTATAACCAGCTAACATAAGTTTAGCCGGTCAAAATTAATTTTCCGGTAAGCTTATGAATTTTCCGGCCAAACATAAAATTTCCGAATAACACTGTGAATTTTTTGGGCAATTTGAACAAATACACATATACACAAATCTGAAATCTAGATTTTTTGTGATGTGCTTCTTAAAATCGATTTCAAAACTAGGTTGAAGAACTCACAATAATCTAGATCCAAACCCAAAACTTGAAAATCAAAATCCCTAAAATCTAGGGTTCGTTTATTTGTGGAACTCACGACTCAAGAACTGAAGAAATGAAGATCTTAATTCTTGAAACTCTTACCCGGAAAACGATTCCAAATGTGTTGTGTTAATCGATTTCAAACCCAAAACCTAAAGCTCTTCACAAGTTTTTATTTCTGCAACTCAAACCCAAAGAACTGAAACCTTCGATTTCAAGGGTTGCATTTATGGGTTTTCAAGAAAAATAAGAAACCGTTTGATCTATGTAGCTTTTTGGTGGGTACTCTTGAAGTTTGAAGACTTATAAACACACACACACACACACACACACTCGTCGATTTCTAGGTTTGTTCTTGAAAAACACGAACTTGATGTCATATTTTGCTTGATTTCAAATGAACTAGATGTAAGTGTGTGTTTTCTTGAAAACATTTTTTTGATCTGAAATCGTTGGGATCTTTGAATAACCGGTGAATATGAAGAACACATAAACATTGCTTAGACAAATTGATTTATTGAACTTGAGAATTTTGATTTCTAGGTTTTGTTGGACACGATGAAGATAAACACCTCTCAGATCCAACACATACTTTCCATCCTTCGCTTTCTTGACATTCAAACTCATTGATGAGCACACACAATCATTTTTTGTGTGTTCTTGAACATGAACCCAAAAATTAAACATGAAAACTAAAATCGTTCACAAAAACAAATGAACAGATGGAAGTGTGTGTTCTTGAAATTGTTTGTAGATCGGAAATTGTTGCTAAAAGCATTTGGCCGGAAACTAGCCGGAGAAGACGACCCGAGTGACATACTCGTCGGAAACCTTCAATACCCGGTAATAATGGTACATTTTGAACATCTACAACAAGATCAATGGTAAATGGAATACAAAAAAAAATGACCAAATGAATACTTGTAGAAGACTTTATTACCTTAAAAGGTCATTTTCCCTATTTAAAATGACCAAAGTATAGGAACAGTGAACATTACCTTTTTTTTGTCACATATGGCCTTTTCTTTTTATCGGTCTTTCTTATTTTGGGATGGAATGCATTTTGGGTGCTATTTGACGGTTTTTGTAGACTTTGTTATGTTTACTCTTGTGTTTCTGTCACATGTTTCATGTATGGTTCCTTTTCCGTTTTCCTATCCGATGAAATTTTCATTTTGTATTTTGTTTTATTTTTTTTATCGTTTTTTTTATTCTTTTAATATTTCATACGATTCCTTTTCTTCTCTGTTTTTGGCCTATGGTTGTTTGTTTTCTTTTCTTTCGTCTGTTCCTTTTTGTGAGCTCGAGGTAAGATCTCCCGATTGTCTTCTACGTCTCCCTGTTTTGGATTCATCAAAATTTTCCCTTTTTTTGTCGTTTTTCCCTCTTTGTTTTATTTATTTATTTTTTTGTTATGTATGCTCAACGTAAACGGGGGTATGGTGTTGTTGTGTCGTCCTCTTCTAGGGCTGAACTTGCTTCTTCTTCGGGTCTTGTTGTTACACCTGTTTTTCGGCGTCCTCGACCCTCTTCACGAATACGTTCTGCTGGTGTTCTTCCGAATTATGTTGATTTTGGTGATTGTGATTGTGTCTGTGAATATTGTGGTGCCTATTTTTGGTTTGTTGAAAGGAGTCTGAAATTGCCTGCAACTCATCATCCTAGATATGGTCATTGTTGCAAGTCCGGTGATATTATACTCCCTTATCCTTCGTCGTTTCTGCATGAATATGTTGCGCTTTTTCATAGTGATCGTTTTTTTGAGGGAAATTAGAGCTTATAATAGTATGTTTGCTATGACATCTTTTGGGGCTGATATGGATGAGGAAATAAATGATGGTCGTGGTCCGTGTGTGTTTAAGGTTTTAGGACAAATTAGTCATAAAATTGGTTCATTCTGTCCCGATCCTATCATGGGGCCTAGGTTTCTTCAGTTGTATCTCTTTGATGTTGATAATGAGGTGAGTAGCAGGTTTACCGCTTTTCCAAACCGTAGAAAAATTGATTTTGATGAGAATATAGTTACTTTTATGGTAACGTTTTTGAAGGACAACAACGAATATGTTCGTACATTTAAGAGTGCTAAACACTTAGCTGATGAGATGAATATATCATTTCATTTGTTTAATTAGTAAAATCCTCGTCAAGGATTGTACCCAAAGCAGAGAGGAAACATAGAGATTTCATGTTTCTTGTTCGTCATGGGTACCTTGCATGAAGAACTCCCACTCGAACCCTAATTTCCACTTTTGCTTCATTTATGTGATCTTTATCCACAATCAGAAACCTCCACCCATTCTCATTCTTTAGAGATCATCACTATATTTTTCAGAAATATTCCTTAGACAAAACAATCATCGTCTTCTTCATCTTGTCATTTCTCTCATGTTCTTTCTTATGTGTTCTACAGTGCTTCGATTACAAGCCAACGTTTCTATAGGCCCTCTTGAACCGTAAACCATATGCTCTGATACCACTTTGTTGGAAACAGATCAAATAAGACACATAATTTAATGGAGAGATTGAATGAACTTACGAAGAAGATGGGTTCTTGTACAACAAAATAAAGATTTTTTTTATTAAAACACCAAGAACAACCTCTTACATCTGTTTGCATATGTATATATAGAAACTAAACCAACATGACTCTTTAGACCTAACCAACACACAACTTTATTTTACAATTAAAATAGCCATAACTACCTTAACTTTCACATAATTGTAACTGCCTTAACTATCAGATAATCAGTCACTAAAACAACAAATAAACATAAATAATCCTAAGTTTAGCTTATTATTTCAACAATAACAACTTACTAACACCATTCTTTTAAGCAATGCATTGCGTAGTATCTCACTTGTCCTATAAACAAGCTACAACTCTCGTAATACGTGTTATGAAAAATATGTATCATATTTTTGAAACCATGGGGACCAAAAGCACATGAGTCTTAATAGTTTTCCTTACTAAGTTTGTTTGAAAAACCATAGGACCAACAATGTAATTTTGTCTTAATTTAAAGATACGAATTCAAGAAAAAATAAAAGTGAGAAGGATTCAAGAAAAAAAAAACATCATAAATGGTCCCTGAGGTTTCCTAAAATCTAAAATTTAATCCTCATGGTTTAAAAACTTCATAGATGGTCTCTGTGCTTTCAAAACTTTTGATGTTTGATCCTTTTTGCTAACTACGTTAGCTTTCCACTGTTAAATGAAGGGTATTTTTGTCATTTAACTGTCCAGGGACCTTTTATGAGTTTTTTTTTTTTTTAAATTAAACTCTCTCTCTCTCAAACAGATGATTTAGTGACAAACCTCACACATACACATACAAACCATGCTCCACTGTTAGAAGAAAGAGTGCACCAAGAACACCTGAAATCATCAGTCAAGATCATCTTTATCTTCATCACGATTAAGAACCAAAAGTGAGTAATATGAACCATTGGTTTTGAAATTAGCAAGAAAACCTGCAACTCAAACACATGTGCAAATCAAGGGTCTCAGAGCATCAAGATTAAAACAAACATTAAAGTTTGGTAATACCAAATCATTGATGGAGAAACTCACAAATTAGTGAGAATCATCAACGTAGCTCCATAGAGATTATGACTGTAAGTAGACGAGATTCTAGGTGTTGACTAATGACTTAATACAAAGGGATATTACAAAGTAATTCAACAGATTTAAAAGCTCTAACAAAAAATTACAAATTGATATGCAGCGGCTTTAAAACTCAAATACATTCAAGATCAACAATTTCACAAAAGGATTTACTATCAAAACGAAAGAACTAAAATCAATATGTGAGAATTGAATCGATTAAAACAACTATCTGATTGAAAAATCTAATAAACTTCATAGTAGTGTTTGCTCTTCAAGTCAAACACACACGTATACAAACAACGGATTTTGTGTTTGCTCTTTAAGAAAAACTGAATGTATGGGTTTGCTTTTGGAACTAGAAATCAATTTCCAAATCTGAAATAAGGCTTATGGGTATTTAAGAACAATCAATTTCTGAAAAATCGATTTTGTATATGTGTTTGTCGCTTGTTATTGGACGAGTCCCTAATAACCTAATCTGAGCCTGAGGTGGACTCGATGAAGACGAAGAACTCGAACTGTTTGTATTATTAGATGATGAAGAAGTCCCAATGGCAGAAAAACCCCTATGAACAAAAACATGAGTCATCCTTTCCTTTTTTTTGAGAGGATTTCGATGCCCTAAAAACAAACGAGTACAAAGTTCTTAATCTTGATGAGGGAGAGGTAAGCAGAGGGGAAGAAGATGACGGAAAGGTAAGCAACTAGGTTTGTCACTAAATTATCTATCTGCGAGGAGAGATACTTGGATATTAAATTTAATTTTAAAAAATAAAAGAAAAGAAAACCTCATAAAAGTCTCTAGATAGTTAAATGACAAAAATACCCCTTATTTAATGGTGTAAAGCTAACGGAGTTAGCAAAAATGACCAAACATCAAAAGTTTTGAAAGCACATGGACCATCTATGACGTTTTTAAACCACAATGATTAAACTTCAGATTTTGAGAAACCACAAGGACTAGCCCTATCAAAAATACCCGTTACCCGAATTACCCACCCGATTTTTCGGATAACGGGTAAATCGGGTAAGGTAAATCTGGTATCGGGTTAATTTTTTCGGGTAAGTGGGTAACCCGAATTTTTTTCGGGTCGGATAAAGGGTAAGTTGTTTGGGTTTCGGGTTTACCCGATTACCCGAAATATATATAACAAATAATGTCCATTTATGAGTTTATATGTCCCTCCCAATTCCCAAATCCCAATTTCACTCGTTGAGACTCGTTCTATTTTCCCCACGTCAAAAAACCCTTGTACCTCGTCCGCTCTTCGTTGGTATTCGTCACCAATGGATGACTATATTGAAGTAGAAGATGAAACGATTGAAGTTGACACCCAACTAATGATCAAGTTCCACAAGAAAAAAAAGAAAAAAAAAAATAAAGAATTCAATCCAAGATCAAAAGTTTGGAAAGAATACTTGATATCTAAAATATTATTGAGTAAAAAATCTTAATGTTTGAAGTTTAGCATGACATATTTATTTCATTACATTTATTTTTAGGTGCCATTAAAAAATAAAAAAATTAAAAATTAAAAATCGGGTAATACTCGAATTACCCTTGCCCGACCCATTACCTGAATTACCCGAATTTAATTTGGGTAGGGTAACGGGTAAATTTTTTTATATGGAAAACCCAAATTACCCAAAATCCGAAAATTTTACCCGATCAACACACCTAACAAGGACCATTTATGATGTTTTTTCAAAAAAAAAAAACTGATGAGAATGTACCTATCATTCACTAAATTATTTGTGTGAGAGGAGAGAGATCTTAGATATTAAATTTAATTTAAAAAAAAAAAAAAAAAAACCTCATAAAAGGTTCGTGGATAGTAAATGATAAAAATATACTTTATTTAACTGTTCAGATTTTGAGAAACCATAATGACCATTTATGATGTTTAAAAAAAAAAAAAAAAAAAAAAAACTGGATCAATCAAGGACGAAAACGGGTTGACATTAAAAAAAATATATTAGACTGATTTATGATATCTGGTCGGCCTTTACCTGCGCTCCATCTCTCATTCCACTATTCCAGCAACAAGTTTACAATTGACTTTAAAATATAGTCTTAAAACAAATGTGGCGTCATGCTGGGCTCCATTTCTCCTTCCGGAAAGGAGGTTTACAGTTGACCAGGGTCTATGAACCTTCAATATCAACTATGGTGGAACAACTATTTCAAATTCTAGACCTACTTCAAATTCTCCTTCTTCATCAACAATTATGTTGGCCTCTATTGGCCATGGCAAAGAATCCCAACCCTCCACGTCCTCCTCCATTGAATTCTCACAACCATGTCGTCACTTCAAATTTCCTGACCTTCTCTTAGCAACAAATAACTTTGATGAAACATTAGTAATTGGCCATGGAGGGTTTGGAAAAGTTTACAAAGGCAACATTATCAATGGATCAAGTGTTATTGTTGCTGCCATTAAACGTTTGGATTCAATGTCCAGTCAAGGTGCAACAGAGTTCTGGGCGGAAGTTGAGATGCTTTCAAAGTTGCGTCACTGTCACCTTGTATCCTTGTTTGGTTATTGTAATCATGAAAATGAAATGATCCTTGTATATGAATATATGCCAAATGGAACACTAGAAGACCACCTCCATAAACTCGGTACCCCTCTTTCATGGCTTCAACGACTCAAGATCTGCATAAGTGCAGCTCGTGGGTTAGACTATCTCCACACGGGTACAGGGATTGATTTCGGGGTTATACATCGTGATGTCAAGAGCTCCAATATTTTGTTACATGAAAGTTGGGCTGCTAAAATTTCAGATTTTGGATTGTCCAAAATAGGTCCAACGAATCAGACATCAACTCATGTCAACACACTTGTTAGAGGAACTTTTGGGTATCTTGATCCACATTATTACGCAACTGGAAGGCTGACAAGGAAGTCTGATGTGTATGCTTTTGGGGTTGTGTTGTTCGAAGTGCTGTGCAGGAAGCGTGCTTTGGATAACAGTATTGAAGAGGGATTGGCAACATGGGTTCAAGATTCTATCAAAGGGGGGAAGTTAAAGGATATAATTGATTCAGATATAAGAGGTGAAATATCCACAAAATGTTTGAAGGTGTTTGTTCGAATTGCAAAGAGATGTTTACTTAGCCATCCAAAGCAACGCCCTACCATGGCTGAGGTTGTTTTCAGTCTTGA